AGAGAGAGAGAGAGAGAGAGAGAGAGAGAGAGAAAGAGAGAAAAAGAGAGAGAAAAAGAGAGAGAGACATTGATTTGTTGTCCCATATATTTATACATTCATCGATTGATCCTTGTTTATTTCCTGACCTAGATCAAAACCACAACCTTGGCATATCAGGATGCTTTAACTAACTGAGCTACCTGGGCAGGGCTGAAACTATTTTAAAACAAATATGCTTTAAGAAAAAAATATCAGCATTATTAAAAAAATCAATGCTTCTCATATATTTCCTTTTTATATCTTCCTTGCAATTTAAAAGTTGTGATATAATGTTTTTGTCTGATAATATGTTTTTTTGAAATTTAAAGCAGAATTTTCTACATAGACACAATTCTCTGTGCCCATACTTTATGCTTTGCCCTCAAACATAGCTCTGGAGTAGTTTATGTTGCCTCTCAAATACTTTAAATTTTCCTTGAGTGTAAAAGAAAGAGATGTGCATTATTGATACCAATTTATTATATTGTCAATATAAGAAAGAAATATTCGGATCTAGTGAAAACTTTTAAGATCATGTTTTCTAGTAACATAAAAAAAAATTTAAAATACCAATCAACAGTAATTTATCGAAGGTTCTCAAATAAATAGGGGGCTTTGTTGCACTTTTATATAAATAAGAGCAGAATACCCGACAAGGATTAATTATAGTAATTACTCTGAAGTTGCTTTGTTCCAGACATCAAACAGACTCCTTGCCCTGGCCAGTGTGGCTCAGTTGGTTGGAGTGCCCTCCCATACACCAAGATGTGGCGGGTTTGATTCTGGTCAGGGCACATACCCAGGTTTCAGGTTTGACCCCTGGTCAGGGCACAAGCAGGAGGCAACTGATTAATGTCTCTCTTTCTCTCTCTCTCCCTTCCTCTTTTCCTCTCTCCTTCCTCTAAAATCAATTAAACAATCATACTAAAAACCCCACCTTGTTTTAAAAACAAACAAACAAAAAACCCAGCCTCCTTGGATGGAAAGTGTAATGATTTCTTATCCCATACTAGGTTGAACACTGACCAACAAACAATTTATTTATAAATTTGTATATTTCTTGAGCTATTAAAATAGAAAAATAGTCAAGAAATTTCTGTATTAATCCTGGCTTATTCCATCTCATTTTACACAATTAAGTATAATACTAGCCTTTTTTTAAAAAATGAATATTTATCAGGTTAAGTAAATATCCTACAATTCCTAATTGATTATGAATCTTTGTAAAAAATGTATAATTAATTTTATAAAAAACCAGAAAAAAGGTATCTATGGACATGATTTTTATTTTCTTCTTTGACTTATCACTTTAATGAATTGCATTAAGAGATTTATAATTTTCAATCCTTTCATTCTTGAACTAGACCATATTATGCTAATAAAGTTCTCCTTATTCTAATTTTATTTGTAATTTTATATTAACATTAATATTTGACGTTGGTCTAAAGTTTTTCTTTTTTCAGGTTCTGTTTTATTTTTCACTATCAGACTTTACTATTGAAGTTATAGTAGATGTTATAAAAGCAATCAATAATTTTTCTTCTTTCTCGGCTTTAATATAATTTAAGTAGCATTATATTTAAGTTACCATTATATATATATATTTAAGTTATCATTCCCTGAAGGTATAATATAATTCACTTTTGAAGTTATCTAGCTCTTGAGTGGTGGGTTGGGTTTGAGGTTTGATGGTACAAGAGCAACAAGAGAGCAAATTCCTTTGTTTAGGGCATTCTGTATTCCTAATAAATTCACAAAGGGGTGAAATGTTGAATAGGCATGTCACCAAAGAAGATATATGAATTCTAATAAACATACAAAAAGGTTAGAGAAATATAAATTAAAACCATAAAGAGCATCACTATATAAATTAAAACCATAAAGAGCATCATCATTATCGATAGAATGACTATAATCAGAGAGACTATGGATACAAAGTGTGGGAAACAATGGTCAGAAACTGGAAATTTCATACATTGCTAGTGGATATGTAAAAAGATATGGTCATTTTTGAAAACAATCCGGCAATTTTATAACAATTTAAATACATACTTGTCATATAACCCAGCAGTACCATTTCTAGGTTATCTACCCAGAAAAAATGAAAATATATGTGCACACAAACACTTCTATCCAAATGTTCATAGCAACATCACTCATAAATACCCCAAACTGAAAACAACCATCTACTGGTGAATTGGATTAAATGAATTGGCATATCAATACAATGGAATACTACTTCAGCAATAAAAAGAAATAAACTAATCCTAAATGCATCAACATGGGTAAATCTTAACAGCACTATGCTAAGTAAAAAACTACAATACATATAGCAATCCCACTTCTGGAAGTATACCCTAAGAAAACTGAAACACCAATCAGAAAGAATACATGCACCCCATGTTCATAGCAGCATTATTTACAATCGCTAAGATCTGGAAACAACACAAGTACTCATCAGCAGATGAGTGGATTAAGAAGTTGTGGCACATTTACACAATGAAATACTATGCAGCTATAAAAATGAAGGATCTCTTACCCTTTGTGACAGCATGGATGGATATTGTGCTGCATAAAATAAGCCAGTTAGAGAAAGGCAAATACCATATGATCTAACTTATATGTGGAATCCAATAAACAAAATAAATTGATGAAAAAATTGGTCCAGAGGCATGGATGCATAGAACAGAATGACAGAGTTCAGAGGGGAGGTGCGTGGAGGGGAGATGGGAAGAGATTAACCAAATGACATATATGCCCATAGACACAGAAAATAGGTTGGGGAAGGCCTGGGGAGGAGGATAAGGAGAGGGAAAATTGGGGACTTCTGTAATACTGTCAACAATAAAAATAAAGACTACATACTATATGATTCCATTTATCTAAAAAAAATGTAGGAAGACAAAACTGTTCAGAAAGCATCCTATGTAAGAAAAGCCTAATATGCAAATTGACTGAACAGTGGAATGATTGGTTGCTATGATGCACACTGACCACCAGAGGCAGACACTCAATGCAGGAGCTGCCCCCTGGTGGTCAGTGCTTTCCCACAGGGGAGGCACCACTCAGCCATAAGCCAGGCTCACATCTGATGATGGTGGTGGGAGCCTCTCCCGCCTCTGTGGCAGCTCTAAGGAGCAGCGAGCAGGCAGGCAGTAAGGAGTGAGGGGACCTGGACTGTGAGAGGGCACAGACTGGGCTAAGAGCATGAACGTTGTGCACCAGGCCTCTAGTATTCGAGATAATATGGGAATAAATGAAATGGAGGTGATGGATGATCTAAGGATTATGGTGACTATTACACAACCATATTATTTTAGCAAAATTTACTCCTTATACACAGTTTATAAATAGATATAAACACTTTCAAAATGCAGTGTTTCTATTATCCATTCCTTTAAAAAAGTCATTATGTATAATGAATCACACAGTGTATGCTGCATATCGACTTTCAGTTACACTTTTTAATATCCAGAACCTGTTACAAAGATTCGATTTTCAATTGCATATTATGAAGGTATGACTATTAAATTAAAAAATATTTGTTTTACTTACTCTTAATGAGTGATGAGAGAAATGAAAACACTGTCAATATTTAACTAGTTATGAAGAGTTATTTTGTGATAATGTCTTACGAAGGTAAAATTTAATATGTAGGATAGTTCAGCTAGCAGATTATTTCCCTTTTTAAATATAGGAGCACAATACTTTGCGTAGGGTTGCTCACAAATGCTCCGGACTTGGTGTCCCTTTTCACACAAGGGAGCAACAAGGTAAAAGCTTCCTTGAGGGGGAAACACCTGCAGAGAAGGCCAAATAAATCATAAAAGGCGCTTCTTTCTGCTTGGCCGACTTCATTTGCATCTCAAACTGCCAGGGCTTTCGTGCAGTTTTCAGTGCTTTGACTAGGCAATCGCATATGTTTGCCACACGCGTGTTCTTCACGCATGAGCTCCTCACAGTACTGCTCCTTCTGACCCAGCCGTGCCAGCTTCGGTGCTAATTTAGAATCAACAGACGTTTAATGAGCACCTATTGTGGACCATCCAATACTAAACACACTACCTACAGTAGGATTATCCCTACATCTGGTTAAGTGGAAAACGAGGCTTTCACTTATACTGTTTTCAAGTATCCTCTCTCTCCGTTGCCTCTTTTTCTTTCTCTCCCTTGTTTTGTGGATAATCAAGAACAAAGTAGTAGAGATATGTTTAGCCCACCCTTCCCCACAAAGTAGAAGAGAAAAACATCCAGAGTTCAGGGTTCCTCACTGCTCCCACTTCCAAACATTGTCACTTAGAATACACAGCCTGGCACTGCAGCCCTGACCCTGCTCCGTAATTCCCTGCTCAGGAGCTGGAAGGCACTATGTGTAATCACTGCGGGAGCAGTGATAACATATACTTCATACTTCCCCATAGCAGTGGAGGAAGTATGAACAGCATTGCTCATAACTCAGAAAGATTTTTCTACAGAGACACAGCTCCCGGTGTCTTTATGGGGATTACCAAGACTATACAAGGGCTTCGAAGGGATTGAAATCCTAAGCGCAAATCAGAGCATTGGTTCCACTGGAAAAAATCAGTTTTTTGTTTTTTTTTTAAATTAAATCAATGGGAAAACCAGTTTGAGGTCTCTACAACTGTGATGCATTAAGAAATGTGTGGACTATAATAATCCACTTATACTTAGGGATTCAATGTTTACCTTCCAAGTTCACAGCACTATACATTTGTAAGACTGAAAGCACTATTTTTGTTCTGTTTAATATAAAATAGGGAAATATATATTCTCAAAAATTAAAAAACAACAACCACACACACAGCTTCCTAAACTCATGTTTTCCTATTACTCTTTTTTACCTTGATTTTTAAAAGTATGATTTCATTCAGCTCCAGAGAAACTCCCTCTTTGGCAGTATTATTGACAAGGCTATCTTGCTACATATGTAATTGCTGCGCCAGCCAGTTTGATCTTACCTCCTCGGTGGATAATCAAAGAGGTCTCGCTTCCCATGGGACAGTCCTTAAGTATATCCACTACTTCCGTATGGCTCAGGTTCTGGACGTTCTGCTGGTTGATCTCCACAATGAGGTCACCTTCACACAGGCCAGGGCATCCCTGAATGTCAAGTATTTGTTTCACCCGCTGTCCGGTAGGGCTGTCGGCAATGGTGAAGCCGAAGCCCTGGGCACCTTTCACAATGGTTAAGGTCATGAGTTCAGCCTGGGTGGCCCCCGAGGAGGCCATGGACACATTGTCATCGTGGACAGGAGGTGGATACGTGCCATCTAGCTGGCCATCTGCTGGCATCGAGTGCAAAGAATGAGGCGGCCGATCTGTGATGTCCGGAACCGACTGTGAGGTCCGAGAAATGTACTCCAAATAGGTTTCATAGTTATGCCTCCCGTTGACCATCACTGGAGGCGGCCTCTCCATGATTGCAAGGGGTGGCACCAGGCTGTTGGCAGGGTCTTCAGGATCAAAGGGCAAAGGGTAGCCACGACACAACACCAGGCTGACACTCTGACCGATGGGAACCGACTGGAAAAGCTTGACTACATCCGCGTGTGTGTGTCCGAGGACACACACTTCATTAATATAGACAATGACGTCACCTGCAAGGAAAGAAGAGAGAGACGGACAACGTGAGGTAAATCCAATGAATGGCGGCACAGGGAAGTGGGATTATTGATGAGGCTAGTGAGAGTGGTGCTGTTTCTCCGTAAGCAGTGAGGAAATCCACTAGGATAGCATTTAAATTTACTGCAGGTGACTCAAGATTGCAACAGGTGTGCGAACACGTGTACTGATCAAATGCTGAAAAAAAAAAAAATGCTATATGGTTGTTTTTGAAGTTCCGAAACAACTTCACATTCAGAAAGAAACTGTCAAAAAGAAAAGTTGGAAAGAATTTGTACCTTGAAGAAGCAGTCAGTCTATGCTTCTTTTTCATCTTCACTGTATTTTAGTTGATAAAATTTTCAAACTGTTGAGAAGTTGTAGGCATAGGTTTTGGATGAAACCTTTGAAGTCCCAGTACATTGTTTTATTTTTGCTATCACTTGCCTGAGTCAGTTGCCTTTTTTATTTTTTATAGAAGAGGAAAATACTTTGCCCATTCATATATATATATATATATATATATATATATATATATATATATATATATATATCTAGAGCAAGGTGTAATTGCAAAGATTTCAGGCATACCTGAGTATAGGTTAAGAGCACAGCTATTGGAATCAGGAATCTGGGTCCATATCCTGGCCCTACTACTTAGCAGATATGTAACATTGGACAAATGACTTACCTGCTTCAGCCACAGTTCCTGATTGGTAAAGTTGTTGCGAGGAGGAAATGAGATAATGCTGAAAAAGTGCCTGGTACAGTGCCTGATACATTGTGAGTACACAATAAAGGTGGACCATTATTAATGCTACTGTTGCTAAAAATAGGATGAAGGCATTTGGGACTCTGGCTTTCAAACAGGGAGCTGCCCTAGACTCATCCTCTCTTTAAATGTTGATATTTTGTATATCTTCTCAAAAAGGCATTTGTTCTCTCTCCCAATGAATTAACACAGAATTACAGTAGTTCACTAGTTACAAGGTAACTTATGATACAAAAAATACCCCAAATGCAAATTGCTCATTATAAAATATATTCAAACAAATAGTACTTTTCCATGGTTTTAATTTCATCTCCACATTGCTAGTGAGGGTGTGCAGCTATTCATATGTTTATTGGTCACTTGGGTTTTCTTTGTATTACATCTCATTTCTCCATTTTTCCTATTTGGATAGATTTTTGTTGTTGATTTTTTTTTTTTTTAACACAGTGACTATATATTTTTTTTTCCTGTCAATCTCCATTCTACATCTTCATGGTGTGGTAGACATTACATGGGATAGGGGGTCAAAGGCCTTTGGTCTGATTACCAGCTCCACACTTACTAGCTGTGTGACTTTCAAAACTAACTTAAACCCTCTGTGACTCATGTCCTTCAGAAGTAATGAGGAACAATAATAATGACAACTGACTGATCTAAGGGAAATAACAAATGAGATCATACAGGTGAAAGGGTTTGGAAACTATAAATTGTTATGCAAAGGACTGCTATTTCAGTCATCACTATCTGTCCTTGGTTATTTGCTTCTATAAAATCAGAAGAGTCCCAACAAGATATTCCCACCATAGTTATAATCAAGGATGAGTATCGGTTTCTGAATGGGCAAGTCAAAGGCAGGAAGGTAACAAATGACACTGTCCTCTAAGGTTCTCCCTCACTTTAATCACTGTTAATAAATTCCCAATCCCCAAGCAGGCTTTATTCTTCCCTCTGCTATGCCAGAAATTCATGGGGGTTGGGGGTGGGATTAAGGTAACGTTCAAAGTTCTCAAGATTCCCTGCCAAGTCTAAAGAGTAGTTATTTGAATTATAGTGATTAATGTTACCTATTTTTGAGTTTTAATGAGATCTTGCTATTTAGAAACAGAAAGAGCGAACTATAATACTTGTGGTTCTAATAAGACTGCCTTTTATAATTTGTGGATATTTTCCACTTAGTGCAATTTTTCAAGTCATCAAGCAAGCGAGTGATAAAGAGCCTTACAACAATCTCTTTGTGGAGCTACACAGATTTCTGAATGTAAAAGATGAGTGGTCCGTTATCAGAGTTAAAACTATCTAACAACTTGACTGCATTCAACTGCTCACTTTAAAAAATATGTAGCTGCCTAGACATGCGTCATGCCAAAATTGTTGTAGGTGGGGATGTAAGCAAACATTTGCTTCTTCAGATAGAACTGATTGGGGAGGATATTTATAGACTGTGCTGGATGAATGTCATTTACATGTTATGACATAAAAATATGAGCCACCTGGTATATGTCACCCGATGGTGTCATGCCAACTCCTGGGACAGTCTGTGCTTAAGAGCACAAAAGGGATGTCATTAGAAAAATTGGTGCTAGCCTCAACCTTACTGTCCTACTCAAGAGGGAGAATTGGAAAAGAATGATTTGATCCCTTTTAACTTATTCTTTTATAAGTGGAGTTAAAATATCTCCCCTCTTTTTTCTTTCACAGGGCTATTTTGAGAATGTAATCATGTTTGTGAAAACTTTTAATTTTACCAAGGAAAGGTTCTTCATTAAAGTAAGATGAGGCAGCCCTGGATGATTTGGCTCAGTGGATAGAAGTTCACTATGCAGACTGAAGGGTCCTCAGTTTGATCCCGGTCAGGGCACATCCCCAGGTTGTGGCTCGATCCCCAGTGTGGGGTGTGCAGGAGGCAGCTGATTAATGATTCTCTCTCTCTCATCATTGAGGTTTCTCATTCTCCCTCTTCCTTCCTCTCAGAAATCCATAAAAAATATATTAGATGAGACATTCCTTTTGAAAGCCAAGCACACAGTTTCATTGCCACAGTGCCTGCAAGGCAACATTATTTCCTATGTGGCCATTCACTTTAGGCCATATCGAGGCCAGATGGTTTTAGGGCTACTGACAAGCCTATTGGTTAAATTTGGTGTGACTGATGAGCTGGGCATCCCCATACGGCTGATCTCATAATGACCCGATTCCCATTTATGGGAAGGAGCAAGGAAATGAGAGTGAATCTGATGAAGCAGAAGGTTTAAAACGGCCTGACCTGGGAATATTTTCTAAGATAGATGGTTTCTTTCTTAGTTATGGAAATAAAAATATAATATTGGATACCTCTTGGGTACTTCATCATTTTGGATAAAACAGAGCTCTCTTAAAGGATTGCTTTAAATGATTTTATTTTTATGCCTCTTTTCTCTGCTTCCACATATTCAAGTCACTGTGGTCTGCAGAATCTTCACTTCAGCTTCTCTCATTTACCACTTGTGGTCTATCTTCCTCGACTATCATCTTGGATCAGATAAGAATGATTTACTTCACACTTCATTCTCATCCCTATAGTTCTCTCGAGTAAGTTCAGACTATTCAACCTTTAGACCTACTGTGTAATACTCTACCAAAAGTCTTTCCAACTTCTTTTTGTCTTCACCACCCAGTAAGTTACCATTCTTGTAAATATCGAATCTTTACTATTCACAATTTACAGCTGGCTACTTGCCTTTTAGTTGAATCCTGCTGTTCCTCCATCCTCAGGATTCTTTACTGTGTGTAACTTTGTCCCAACCAGATAATCTCTTTCCTTACCTCTTCAAAGATAGCTTTGGTCATGCCTACTCAGACTGCTCCTCTCTGCTGTTTGTGACCACAAATTTCTCAGACCTTATTTCTTTGTGGGAGTTTCTATCTGTTTCAAGTTTTCGTTATTTTTAATAATGATACAGAGGATCATTATTATCTTGCGATCTCTTTACTTAGGTATTTGGGATAAACTCTTATTGAGTAAAGGATAGAGAGATTTAATCAGAGGAAGACTAGAATAGATGTTGTAGCTAAGTTTATTGCCTTTAGTGTTTCTAACTTCTATTATGGCCAAGTCACATAGATTTAAAAACATATATATTTTTAATGATTTTAGAGAGGAAGGGAGAGAAAGAGAGATAGAAATAGCAACGATGTGAGAGAACCATTGATCAGCTGCATCCTGTAGGCCCCACTGAGGATCAAACCCGCAAATTATGTAAGTGCCCTGACGGGGAATCGAACTCCTTGTTCATAGGTCAACACTCAACCACTGAGCCACGCTGGCCGGGCAAGTCATATAAATTTTTTGCTAAAAGAAACAAAATTCTCATAGACGATTCCATCCTACTAATTACATGCACTTTACATTGAAAAATTATTAATTTTAATTTATTCTCCAGCTAATAAGATTTGATGGACCTTTTATTTTTTGAAGCTTGTATTAGTTTGTGTTTTTTAATAATAATAATTAATAAATTATTTTAGTATAATTGGCAATTTTATTATAAGATTGAATATTAATTTTCACTGTATTCTACAACCCCTGAAAACATAATAATATTTGATGTTTACTTTTGGCGGTGTGCCATACATCACTTCAATTAATTGAAAATAACTGCTCTTGACAAAGTTCATTTTCAAAAGTGAAGAATTGTGGTATGTCAGCCAGAGAAACAGGGTTGAAGCTGGGTCTCCTTGGGTTGCTCTCTGAGCAAGTTATGCAACATCAGTTTCCTCATCTATAAGAAGGAGATAATAACTGTTCTTCCACCTTATAGAAGAGATGTATATGAAAATGCTCTGTAAATGTTATAGCACTAAGATAATGCTACACATATAAAGACTTATTTTAAAATTTTAACAAATGACTGACAATGATTGGAAAGCAAGTATGTCCCAAGGATGAGGAAGAATAAATAGTTGCAATTTCAAATATTTGAAAAGAAACTGCTGAGCATTATTAAGTATTTCATAGTTTCATTACAGAAAGTTGAGAGGACAGTAATGTTCATCCCTGTAACAAAATACCCTGTTTCCCAATACGACAGACTAGTGCCTCATGAAAGTGCCTTGGATTCTTCATTCCTTTCTGGGATAGAGATACAATGTGGTTAGGGTAGAGGGGTCAGACAGACAAAAGCACACCTGACTGTGTTGCAGCGACAGCGGGTTGGTGGGGGAGAACTTAGAACATCCAAATGTGTG